TTTTTTTTTGGTAGAAAACTTTGAGCATTCCTTTTCAAAGGCTTGTCAAATTTTGGCTTTAGCCACTTTGTGAATAAATAAAATGCATTTTCTTCACTTTTGTTGTTCTCTTTGCTTTGCTTTCTTTGCTTTGCTTTGCTTTTTTTGCTTTTCTTTCTTTGCTTGACATAAACATTTCTCCCTTTGTTGGAATACTTGAGATGAAATGAACCATAATCAAAAGCAAACTTAAATTTATTTTAAGAATTTGACTGAACTTGGAAAGACACCAAGCTGCCTATGTACCTTTTTTGGGGATCAAGTCAAACATAGTTCAAAGATTCTTTTTTTTTTAAGCCGTTCACAGTTTATACTCTTACGGGCCAGGAGTATTACATTTTTTCTTTTATTTTGGTCATACAGTTTATACTCTTGTGACTAGGAGTAGTACTTTTTTTTTTTAAGAGTAAAACGTCTTGAGAAACTTTCCATTAATGGAACCAATCTATAGACCATCTTTGTCAACAATCTTGTAGGCACCATTACTGTAAACATCTATTATGACATAAGGACCATCCCATTTTGAAGTGAACTTGCCCCCTGAATGACGAGTGATGACAATTGGCATTCGAACAGCTATCACCATATCTCCAACTTGAAATGCCCTTAGTCGGACCTTCTTGTTGAATGCCCTAGACAATCTGGCTTGATAACGCTCTAAGTGTTACTGGGCCTCCAGTCTTTTCTCATCTAAGGCTTCTAGTTCTTGGAGATGGAGCTTGGCATTTTGTTCATCAGTAAGATTCTTGAATAGCAACCCTGAGAGATGGAATTTGGCATTCCAAATGGAGAACAACTTCAAGTTCATACACAAGGGAATAAAGAGTTGCTTTTGTTGGAGTACGATGAGTCGTTCGATATGCCCAAAGTGCTTCACCCAGTGTTTCATGCCAATCCCGTTTGGACTTTGAAACAACCTTCTTAAGGAGGTTGCAAAAGGTTTTATTAAAATCTTTTGCCAGTCCATTCGCAGCAGCATTATACATGGAGGAAAAATGCTGGGCAAACTTGAACCTTGTACACAGCTTGTCTAAGAGACTGTTGCTAAAAGGCTTACCATTATCTATAATTATGTATCTTGGAACGCCATACTGGTAGATGATATTGACTCGAATGAAGTCAACAACATTTTCCTTCTTGACTTTTCTCAAAGGTACAGCTTTTACCCATTTGGAGAAGTAAACAGTTGCTACTAGGATATATGCATGCCCAGCTGAAGATTTTGGTGTTATGGGTCCAATCACATCTAAACCCAAGCATCAAAAGGCCATGATGCTATTGTTGGATGTAAAGGCTCCAGTGGTTGATGGATAAATTTTGCATGAAATTGACATGCTTCACATCTCTTCGCATATTCCATGCAATCCTTTACCATTGTTAGCTAATAATATCCCATTCTTTTTATTTGGTAGTGAAGCTTTGGGCCAAACTGATGAGCTCCACAAATTCCAAAATGCGACTCCTCAATCATTTGGAATGATTCATCTCAATCCAAACATCTAAGGAGAACTCCATCAAAAGATCGTCGATAGAGGGTGTTACAAAAGTAAATAAAACGTAGAGCCTTCCCCCAAATTGCGGACTTTTAGCGTGGATGATAAGGTAGCTTTCCATGTTCTAAGTAGTTGATGATTGGTTGTCTCCAATCTTCTTTTTCAATGACAAAGATTGAAACAACATTACTTTCTGCATCTTCAGATGTCAATTAAGGTGAAATCCACCATTGGGACAGAGAAACAAGGATTTCTTGATTATCAAGACTTGTAATGACAGCAGCTAAATTAGCCAAAGCATTTGCTTGCCTATTTCGACTTCTAGGAACATGGGCAATTGAGACATGATCGAATTTCTCGAGGAGTTGAGAGGTATATTGGAAGTATGGGGCAAGATCTGGTTTGCGAACATCAAATTCCTCTATGAGCTGATTCACTACCAAGCTTGAGTCCCCATAAACATTGAGTTGGTAAATTTCCATTTTAAGAGCCATCTCTAAGCTGCAATCAAGGCTTGATACTCAGCAACATTATTAGAGCATAGTTCTCTTAAAGTAAAAGAGAATGGTATTACTTCATTTTTTGGTGTTACAAACACCATGTTAGCCCCAGCACCATCTCTTCTTGATGCTCCATCAAAGTAGAGCTTCCATGATTGTAATACATCTACAAAGAATACTTCCTTATCTAGTAGACTTTCTGACAACTCCCATTCTTTTGGAATTGGATGATCAGCAAGAAAGTCAGCTAAGGTTTGTCCTTTTACCGCTTTTTGTGGCACATAAATTATTTCAAATTCAGACAATAACAGTGCTCGCTTTGCTAATCTACCAAAAAGCACTAGTCTTGTCATGATGTATTTTAAAGGATCTACTTTTGAAATAACATGTATTACATGAGCCAACAAATAATGTCTCAATTTCTTCATAGAGAAGATCAGGGCAAGGCAAATCTTCTCAATGGGTGAATAATTCACTTCTACCCCCACAAGAGTACGGCTCAAATAATAGAGAACATTTTCTTTTCCTTCCTTATTGACTTGTGCCAACAATGCTCCTAAGGAATATTCTTGTGCAACAATATAAAGGATCAATGGCTTCCTTGGAATGGGTGCAACAAGAACTGGAGGGTGAAGAAGGTATTTCTTAATGCTTTCAAAGGCATTTTGACATGCTTCATCCCACACAAATGGTGCATGTTTCTTCATTAACTTGCTAAATGGATGGCAACGTCTAGCAAGGTTTGAAATGAACCTCTGAATGAAAGCCAGCTTGCTTTGGAGACTTTTTAACTCTTGAAGATTCTTTAGGGGTGGCATATTCACAATTGCTTCTATCTTGGATTAATCAACTTCAATGCTTTGATGCCTCATAATAAACCCTAGAAATTTACTAGAGGAAACACGAAAAGCACATTTTAATGGATTCATTTTCAACTAGTACTTGCGAAGTCTCTCAAACACAACTTTCAAGTTGTTGAGGTGGTCATCACGTCTCTTGGATTTAACAACCAAGTCATCGACATAACATTCAACTAGCTCATGCAACATGTCACTAAAAATTTTTTGCATTACACGCTGGTAAGTGGCTCCGGCATTTTTCAACCCAAATGGCATAACTTTATAGCAGTAAATACCTTCTGGTGTTCAAAAAACTGTAAGCTCTTTGTCCTTAGGATTAATGCGAATTTGGTTGTATCTTGAGAATCTTTCCATAAAGGACAAAACTTCATGCCCCATGGTTGCATCCACCATAAGCTCTATGATTGGGAGTGGCAAATCATCTTTTGGGCATACTTGGTTTAAATCACGAAAATCTACACACACCCTAAGTTGTCCGTTCTTTTTACAAACTGGAACAATGTTTGCAATCTAGGATGGATAATGGACCTCTCGAATGAAGCCGGCTTCAATCAACTTGTCAACCTCAGCTTCAATTTGTGGGATAAGCTTTGGACGAAAATGTCATCGAGATTGTTTCACTAGGCATACCCCATGCTTCATGGCTAGATGGCGAGCAGCTACCTTAGGGTCGAAGCTTGGCATCTCTTTGTAAGACCATGCAAACAAATCCTTGTACTCGGTGAGGAGTTGGACATATCTTGTCTCTTGCTCCAAAGTCAATGATACACTAAGAAAAATAGGCCTTGGATCATCCTCTATACCTAAGTATGATGAATAGGAGTTACACTATTTTAACTCGTCAGTGGTAGCTTGTCCCCCCTCCTCAAAAGCTTCTAGGGCTGGATTTGGTTCTTCATCTGAAGATTCATCATACTCAGAAATTTTCTCAGTTGAGACATGGTTTGATTCTACTTTTTTGACCTTCTCAATGGGAGGCTTTGAGATCTCTTGCTCATCAAAGACGTCTTTATGCCTTCATTGAAACTTCTTTTTTTCATATACTTGTTCTTGTTCTTTTGAACTTTCTGACTCTTAAATACTTTCTTGTTGTTTTGCTACTTAGCACCAAGTCTAGAAAAGATTGAAGGCTTTTGAGAAGGATTCTCTTCGATTGTCAATGGTGAAGGAACAGGCCCTAGTCTTTCAAAAACTGACACTCGGACATCCTCTTGCTGAATCCTTTCTAAAGCTAAAACTCATACTTGTGGAATCCCTTCAACCTCGTTGGTTTCAAAAATCTGGATGGTTATGGGATTGGCTGACTTCTTTTTTATCTTGATCTTTGCAAGTTTAGATGATTGAAATCCAAGCCCATACCTTTGCTTTGGTGTAGGTTCTCTTTTCAATATGGCTTCTTTCCCAGTTCGAGTTGCTTGAGTACCTATGAGGATAGAGTTCAAATCCCCAAGTTGTTGAGACTCTCCTTCTTTGAAACTAGCCTTTTTTAGCAACATTTGAACACGTGGATCAAACCATCCTTGAGATCACTTTTCATGTTCTATGGTTGTTTCAACCACCTCTGTTTTAACTGGGTTAGAAATACCTAGTTTAGAGAGTGCAGACACTGGAAGCACAAGATCTTCTTTGAGGACCTTCACATCCTCAATTGAAAGATGAACTCAGAACTTGAAGATGGATCTTTTATGGGGCGAACAATGATTTTTCCATCATTCTTTTGCTTTATTTGTGGCATCTTAATAGGAAGAGCTTCAAAATCATCTTCTTCCTTTTCAAAAAATTTGGCATCAACAAAATGAGGCTCTTCTTTAGTGAAAGGCTCTTTCTTAGCCATAACACATTTTGTTTTGCCATCAGAATGATATTTAAAATATTGATGCCAAGTTGACGGAACCACCCCATTTTCATGAATCCATGTTCATCCCAAAAGAAGCTCATATGATGTTTTAGCCTCAATGACATAGAACAAAGTTGAGGTTGCCATGTTTGCAATTTGAAAATTGATGCGGATCTTGCCAATTGCACGTTGGCCCTTTTGGTAAAGCCTTGGATTAGGAGTTTACTGTTAGTCAATTCATCGACAATTATCCCAATCCTCTTCATGGTGTAAATTGGCATTATGTTTATAACAGATCCATCATTAATCACAATTCGATTCACTTTATGATCTCGAACAATGCCACTCACATAAAGAGGCTTGTTATGTTTTTGGGCTTTAAGCTATAGGTCTTCATCTGTGAAGGTTATTGTTCCTAAATACTCAGCCTTAGTTTCTGGCTTAGCAAGCTCGCCTTGGAAACTTTCTGGGTCTAACATAGCTTGTACAAGAGCAAGGCATGTATCCCATGGAAGCTGCAAAGCTTTAGATAACAGTAAGTCAGAAGGAAGTTGCTTTAATTCTCTACACTTTCATTGGCTTCGGGATTATTTGATTGGCTCTTGGAACCCTCTACTTCATCTTTAGGTGATGGTTTGTTTTATGCCTTGAAACCTGTGACATTAGCAAATGCTACCTCAGTAGAAAATATCCCTTTGGAAAGTATTCGTAAAGAGTAACTGCGGCTCTTTCTTTTAAGTTCACATTTTTCTTAGATAGTGATTTTCCCTTCTTAGGAACTTGTCGACGTCTTGTTTGCAAGTCAAACCTCTTTTTCACTACCTGACGTTGTTCTTGATTTTTTGGTGCAGTTGGCAAAGCTGGAAGCAATGAGTGATTTTGTTGGATGGTTGGCAGTGTGGGTCTTGAATGACGTCTCCTCCTTCGTGATTGAACTGGAATCCACCCATCATCATCATTGTAAAAGGCAGGAAACTCAAAGTTTGAACACCATCCAGTTGGCATTATCTCTGGATAGATACCATACATGACTTTATGAGGATTTGGGAGTGGCATTCCACTAGATACTAGATTACGGTGTTTTTTGCTCTTACTAACAAAGGTTGACCAACCATCACTAACCTTATCTTCAGACTCAGATGATGATTCCCAATCTTCAAGATTCACCGTCATAAGGTCATATAAAGAAAGAGAGCTTGGACCTCTAAAAGTAGGCATGCCAAGATAAGCATAGGCTATCTTCTCTTCATCATTTGTTTGAAATTTAACTTGAATTGCCCCTTTAGGTAAGTGGGGACCAAACTCCTTAGGTTGAACCATTAGTAGGGTTGGTTGCACAGGCAGGAATGGAACTGGACTAAAGGATCCAAAGGAAACCATGGCAACATTGGTGGCAGCGGAACCTTCTTCACTTTCTAGTTGTATTTTGCCTTCTTTCTCAAGACGAACTATCATATCTATCAACAAAAAACACTTATCGATTAGATGACTCACAATTCGGTGATACTTACAATATTTCGGATCATTCACTCTCCCGACTTCCTCTGGATGCTTAGGAGCTGGAAGTTCAATTAGGTTAAGTGCCAACAATTGCTCAAAGATAGCCGGCACTTTAGAGTCTGCAAATGGATACTTCTTTTGCTGCAACTCCTTCAATGTAGACTTTTTATTTTGGCCTTGATCCTTAACAATCTTGATGCCTTGTTTAGGATTTGGCTTTGGCTTTTGTTGTGAGATCTTCATAGGTGCTGTTGTGACTGCCATAGTTTCTTTTGCTTTTGAAGGCTTCACCTCCCTTTTCACATCCTTTTGAGACTTTTTTTTATCATGAGCGTCTGTTGGAAGAAAGTTACCATGCCTAGAAATTTGAATTTCCAAGTCATGGGCATGGGTGGCCAACTCTTCAAAGGTATGTGGCATGTTAGCTTGAAGGTTATATAATAGTCCCCAATGCATATCCTGCACACACATATCAATAGAAGAAGTCTCACTAATCTTTTCTGGACAATTTAGGACGAGATTCCTCCATCTTTCAATGAAGTCTATCACAGAATCATCTTTCTTTTGCTTGGTGTTAACAAGCTTAGGCAAGCTAATAGTACGCTTGGTGTTGTAAAAACGTGTCAAGAATTTTCACTCTAGCTGGTTCTAATTGTCAACTAAACTAGCAAGAAGGTCAGTGTACCACTCGAAGGCTGCATCCTCCAAGGACTGGACAAATTATTTCACCATGAGGTCTCCGTAGGTGCCAACATTGTTGCATGTTTCAACAAAATGGGCAATGTGTTGTCTTGGGTTGCCCTTCCCATTGAACTTTTAGAGTTTTGGTGGTTGGTAACTGTCTGGTAGGCTTAGATTATCCATCCTGCGAGTATAGGGCTTGGTATATACAAGTGAGGATTGTGAGGTCCCACTTTGCCGAGCTCGAATCACATCATCTACTGAAAGTTTAAGTTGTGAAAATGTAAGAGATGTCACAATAGCATGAGTAGTGTCACGAAAAGCATCTTGAAGAGTTGTTCGATCTAGTTGTTCTTGCTTTTCTTGCTCCAAGCTTTCCTCCATGGCAACTTGCTTACCTCGATCTGAAGTCCTCAACGAGTCTTCCTTGTTTTCGAGGGTTTTTTCAGCGACTAAGCTTGATGCTGCTTGGTTATTCTAGTTTGACAAGTGTTGAGCCACCAAGAGTTCTTAGAGTTCCTTGATTTGGGCATCCTTTTCAGCCACGGCTTTCCTTAAGCCTTCCATAGCCTTGAGGAGAGCATCCGGGTCACCAGATGTCGCTTCAGTAACCAAGGCAGGTAGGAAGGACTCAGATGATGAAAAGGGATAATTAGCCCACCTTAACTTTGAAGCAGGCACATGATTGGGGTTGAGACTAATTTCTTCACCTTCACTAGATTCTGAGGAGAAGTACTTGACATCCTTCATAGGTTGGAAAGGCGACTAGATGGCTAATGATTGTTTTTTCATTACAACCTCCTTACGACGTCTTCTAATGAATTGCCTCAAGGGGGACAACAACTTACATCTTGTCATGTGCGCTTTGGCAAGAGTCAGCAAGGAGGATTGATTGGGAAAGATTTGAACTTTTAGAGTTGCAAGAGGAGTTACAGCTTGCTTTGAGCCCGCCATGCTTGGAAGGATATGGTGGAATTTTTCCTCAGTTGAAAGATGAGAGGTAGAGATTTCCCCAGTGGAGTCGCCAAAGATGTGTAGTCACAAAATCTGCAAAAATCAAATAATATATATTGATTTGCAAAATAAATTCAAATTACAATGAATTTGAAGGAAAATGAGAAACAATCTTTGATTTGGAGTGTTGCAGTGCACGCGCTTGAATTTTGAAAAGTAACACGTTCTAAAACAACACGATCATCTGATTAACAATTGAATTTAGAAGGGCAAGGGCTTAAGCTTGTTCTTGTCCTTTCAAGGGATTTCAGGCTTGCACTTGAAACTTTTCCTCCTTGACATGGATTTGGAGCTTACCCTTGGCAAGAGGTTGGGGGGGCTCGAAACTTCGAGAATTGTTGAAGGGGCTTGAAGCTTGTTGTTCCTCTCCTTTTCTCCTTCTTCCTTCTTCCTTTTCTTCTCTTTTTCTTCCTCTTGTTTTTTTCTTCCTTCCTTTTTTTTTTCTTCATCAAATGATGGCTTATTTATAGGCAAAAGAGCCTTGTCAAATGACCTCAAATACCCTCCATTTTAAGGATAATTTGGTTAATTCAATATATATATATTTTTTAAAATTGAAAGAAAAAATATCTCTTTAAAGATTTATTACCCCAACTTCCAAGATTTTACTAGGATAAACTTGTTTTAACCTTAACAAAATTTTTAATGTCTACAACCGGTATACTAGTATAAATGTGTAGTGAGCTAGAAGTTGTCTTCTGATGTTAAACTAGTATGCTTGGCTGCATGAGTGGTTCTTTTTGATAAATTATTTCGTAAAGTCATGTTATTAACCCCAGTTTGTTAATTCCTTGAAAGAATGGTGTTTCAGGTTTACTTTAAATGCTCATTATAATAATAGATATAGTTGATTTGTTGTTTTATGAATTTTACAAGCCTTTTTTACGTTAAACTTAAATAGTTAATAAAAAAAAATTAGCAAGGGTTGTTAAATGGAAATCACGTTCATCATTTGTAGTCTCTATATACATTAGACTTTGATGTTTTACTTGATGTATTTGTTTTGGTCATTAATTAATAGTTATTGTCTGTTAGCTACGCTATTGTTTGGATCCTAGGTAAGTTTAGGAGCTGTCTTGGTGGAGTGCTTTGTGTGGCTGGCTTGGTGGAGTGCTTTGTGTGATTTATAAGAAGCACAATGTATACTCCAACCCTTACAATTTACAAATGTACTAACATCTTCCTCCTTATAAATGAATGCATAAGATGTAAGTACATCTGTAAATTGTGAGGGTTGGAGTACACATTGTGCTCCTTATAAATGAATGAGTATAGTTATTTTCCCTCATAAAAAATTTGTTAGAATTCTTTTTAGCTCCAAATAGCACATTTTATTTGGATTACACATGAAAAAACTCTATTTAACTTTTGCCCTATTTATTTAAGGTCTATTTGATATAATAGTTTTAGAGTAATGGTTAGTGGTTTTACATAAATCATTAATGATTGGTGTTTGGTAAACTTAATTTTTTTTTTAAAACCACTACAAAATAGGTCTTTGGTAAAAGTTTTTATTTAATTGTTTGAAATTAGCAAATAACAGTTAAGGGTTAAATCGCTAATAGATCGAAAAAGCTATCTAAAATAGCTTTTTATACAAAATTGCTAGTATATTAGAATTTTTTAATTTTATTAACAAATTTATTCATTTTAATTTTTTCATTTTTGGCCATAATTTTTAATTAATACTTATTTAATTAGTTTTAACTTTATTTTTTGTCTTTAATAATATTGAGTGACTATTATATTTTTATTTTTCCATTAATTTATTATAAAAAAAAAATATACTAATTTAATAAACAAAATTTACTAATTAAACAAAAAGATGAAATTTTTTTGTATTTTATTTAAAAATAATATAATTTTTTTTGTTAAAAATAAAAATTAGTATGTGAATACACTATTATAATTTATTTTATTTATATATTTTCTTATTATAATTTTTATAAAATTAATAATTTTAATAATAAAAAATATAAAAAGAAAAAATATACTTAATTATTTTTAAATATATCTTTAATAGTCATTTATTGTTGAATAATAACTATTAACTATTATATAACTAAATAATTATATTAATCGAATCTGTTATCTATTATTTACTTCTTCTCTTCCATTATCCGTCATCTATTATTCGTTACCAACCATTCACTATCCATTATCCATTATCGCAATTCACTATTTATCATTTGTTATCTGTTATCCGCTATCCACTGAATTTTAACCATTATACCAAAAAGGACGTGAATAAGAAATGACTTATTTATTTGCTACAGATGCACTTGTTACTCTTGTTCTACACTATTAAGGAAACGATCCACTTTGATTGCATTCACAAGATAGTTGACTGCATTCACAAGATAATGGGCAAAAACCCTTCTTAAGACCTTAAACTTATCCTAAGATAGCATTTAAGCTCTTAAGCTAAAAATGAGGTAGATAAACCCTTTAACTCCACTAATAATGCAAATAAACCCTTTTCATAAACCGATCAAAAGGTGTATCTCACGGTAGATAAACTCTGTTTCCTTTTTGAACTTCCACTAATCCATGTAGATACATATGCTAAATAAAGGGATCAAAGTGCTCATTGTGTAAAGAGCTAGAGGACCAAATCTACTATTTTACCATTAAAGAAATAGAAGAAGGAGTTGGAAACCCGACACGAGTATGGTGTTCACACCTATTTTGTGGTATCAACACTATGCATTAAGCCTTGCTAAAACAACTTGGCGTAAATAACCAAAAGTGCATACATCAAAAGCACATCCAACATTAGTATATATATTTTTTTTATCCTAAGTCCTACTTCATTTAAATCATTTAATTTTAATTACTTAAATTAATTTAGAATTAATTGATTTTGATAACTAAGTAGTCTATAATTTTTGTGAAACAATATTTAGGGAACGTTGGCATTGCTATAAGTGCTGTGGCCATAGTTGAAGTTGTAATTGTATTGAATTGTGTTGTGCTATACTGTGATAAAAAGTTATTTCGGCGTTTGATTATTTATTTTTTAAAAGTATTATAGATGAAATATGATAAATTTTATTAATTATTAATTAAAATTTTAAAAAATATTATATGATATATAATTGCTAAAATAGATAATATTTACTATTCTTTAATAATTTAGGGGTTTTAGGTTTCTTATAATGACTTTTTTTTGGTTTCACAGGAGAGTAACTCATGAAGAGGGAATGAGTTTTTAATTTTTTATAAAATTTTTAAATAAATGAGTGGTTAAGTTTAAATAAAATATTATAAATTATTATGTAAATGAATTAATGAGAATTGGTTTTAAAGGGTACTTTCATAATTGTTTTAAATATTAGGTGTTACCTATGAAAACCACAGGCAAAAAGTTTAAAAATAAGGCTTTTGACTTTATATATAAAAAATATTGTAAATCTGCTATGACTTTTTACAATTTTTTAAAAAAATAATTTGAAAAAAAATTACTAAATACACATTTATTTAAAGGCACTATGTGGCTACTAAAAGAAACTCCTGACCGCAATCCCAAAAGCATCCTTAATTTTTATTATTATATGACTTAAACTAATTAATACTCTTATTAGAGTAAAATTAGCTTTTCACTAACTTGAACAGATCTTACTCAAATAAAAAAAAAGGTAAAAACTTGGAGTTTAAACCATATATA